TTTCTTTGACGGAATTTCGAAGGTCAACATTTCACTCTCGTTGGCAGATCTTGCAGAGAGAGGAGGACAATGTGTGTTTGAATTTGCCATATACAACAGCCAAGTCTAAGAAGCTTCAACTACATTGCTTTGAGGCTAAGCAAATCACAAAGTCAGAGGTGAAAAGAGGAGACAGCACTCAGCAAGATTATGGAGTTTCCAAGATGTTCCCTAGATTTGAAAACTACACATGTTTTACTTGAGAAACCAGTCCTAAAATTACAAACTCAAAGTGGCTTTAGCACCAATAGAACCAAATTTTCTTTGATTCAAGACTTTGGTTGCACCGTGAGCAACTGTTTATAGCTATATCTGGCTACTTGGAAAAACAGTAACCGCAATAGTTAGAGGTGTGTGTTAATAGTAGTTTTCCTTAATCCTATCTCCGATATATCAAACGCAAGTTTAAACTCCTCTCAGTTAGAACTAGTGACGTTAACAAACCAAATTCCCCATTTCTGCAACTGAGCCTCATCACTTACCTTGGTGGTGTCGGCAACTATCTGATGCTGATTTGATTTTCTTACCAAGGATAGGTAAGAGTTTCCCTCCACAAAAGCGCGCAAGATAAAAGGCGTAGCCTTACTGAAAAAAAAAAAAATTAAAATAAAAAAAAACAGGTTGAAAATATGTAATTTATTTGGCACGGAGGTGTCTTCCTTGTAAAAACTGAGTAACGTATATGTTGCTGTTGTTTGTTGCATCACTTTCCATTGTATTATATCTCTCCATTTGTAAGCTTTTACAACACTAAGTAACGGAAAACCTTCAAGGCAAAAAGAGTACAAAACAACAAGGGATGATAGTCAACGAAGAATAAAACAACTCTATAAACTTAGAAGCAGTTACTTGCAGATGTGGTTTGAAGCATGGATTAAGGCACTTGAAAGTACGTCAAGTTTTTCAGGTGGCATATATGATTGGTTAAAAACAATCTTAAGTGCAAGTATCTCTTCCCTCAATACCCTATAAAGTTTGTACATTCAAGTTCAAATGATGGAAGTGTAGCAATCAAAAGAAGGGTTGCGGAATATCAACATTAGTAGCTGTATTTTGCTGCAGTAACTGTCGCAACGATTACTCCTTCAACGGCAGCGCCAGCTTGGACAAACGCCGTGAAATAAGAAATAAAAAAAATAAAAAAAAAAAAAAAGGTACAATCCAATCCTTGAAAACACACAGAATTGTAGAGTCACCCATTTGCAAGTACAAATGCTTCCAACTGTCAAGACCTAGAATACGTAACCTCTACCCCCTTGTTCTCCATTGATTAGGAATTTGAAAAGTATCCACAGCTCTGCCATTCTTCTTGAATCTCATTTTTAGTCTATTGTTGTTGATCTTTCTTATTTCTTTTTTATCTTCAATTCTTTTATTTTTTTATATTTTTTTATATTTTTATTTTTCCGTAAAACTTAAAAAAAAAAAAAAGAAAACAAAGAACAAAAGTACTCGCCTTTGCGGTTTTGTGCTTCAATGGAATTTAATAAAAATAAATAAAATTTGAACAAATAAAACAATAGATATACAATTTTCGGACAACAATCTCTATGTCAAATCTCAACTATGTGAAATAGAGAGAGTACCGGGACAGTTGAAGGAATATGGTTGAAAGCCGGTGTCAAAAAGGAAAAAACCCAATACATCTCCAGCAACCGATTCGTTCTTGGTGTTTCTCTATTCACTGTTTCATTTTCCTGGTAGTTATAGCCTATACGTTTATGATCTTCTCCTAGCTGTATCCACACCGTTTCTACACTGACATTCACTCATATGTTCTTTCAGAAGTATTGAATTATCACTGTTTGAATGCTCAATCACAAGTGGAAGTGAGATATGCCCAATCGACTTCAAAATTCACAGAAACTGCGGCTTTGCACATTCCTCTCCCTGATTCTGTTCAAAACGACACCTATTCTTCTCCCGCCTTTCTTCCAATTCCCTACATTGATGATTGAAAAATACACATTTGTATTTTTTTAAACCTATACGCCAGTCAATTTTGTTTTCATTTCCATTGGAAATCCTATACTCTTATATAATAAATGAGTCATTCACCCCAACTACGCTCACGCACGTTTCGCCTTCTCTTTCAACAACTTCAACTCATCATCACTCTTTTGACTACCCTTTTCAATAATCAAGTTGCGCAACAACTTGTTTTCCATCTCCAAATGACTCAATTTGTTCTCCAAGGAAGAAATCATCTCTTGTAACGAGCTAATCTTATTCTCCATTTGTTGTTCCTTCATCTTGCGCTTGATCCTGAACCGAGCACTAGCGGCAGTATTGCGACGCTTCTTATCGAGCTCGGCTGCGTCAGGCAGACTCATATTAGAGCTGGCGGGAGTCGATACGGGTCCTGTCAATATCAGATTTCCCCCACCTCGCAATTGCTGTTGCTGTAGCTGTTGCTGTTGTTGACGTTGTTGTTGTTGTTGTTGTTGCAAGCTAGGATCGATGAACGAAGTAGATGATACACTGGGATTGCGCGACCTTGTTTGTAGCTGCAAACTAGAATTAAGCTGTTGCAAAGATGAAGACGGAAATTGTTGCGACGGGAGTTGAAACATCTGGTTCGTTTGTCGGGTTGGAATATCACTAGGTGAGGATGATACATTTGGGGTGAGTGGGGCAATGTTCGAGGGTAAATTTGGCTCTTGCTTCAAGGGAAAGTTGTTTACAGTCTGTACACCCAAACTGTGATCATCTTGTTGCTGCTGCTGTTGCTGTTGCTGCTGTTGCTGCTGTTGCTGCTTCTGTTGAGCTATTGTCTTGCCCAAATTCGTTTGATGTTGCGCAATTAACGCACTCAACAAGTCAATTTGATTCAGTGTTAAACCAGCACTAACCAATGAGTTCTTGGCTCCGGGGGGTACGGGAAACTTGGGCAACTCGTTCAAACTTAATAGCTTGTGTGGCTGGACGTGGTGGTGCAGAGTGTCCAAATCATGGCCCAGCACATTATTGATAGCAGCTCCATCGTTTTTGGGATTGTGCTTGCTACTACTGCCATCGTCGAACCCGTTAATCAACCCACTTCCAAGCCCGGCTTCACTGTTATTGACTTGGTTATGCAACACATTAAATTCATTTAGCTTGTCAGAATCATCACGCTCGTGTCCTTCGTCAAATAGATGGTTTCTAAAGTGATGATGTTGGGAAGAACTCCCTATTTCAGGCTCCAGTTTTAAAGTAGGTAGCAAACTCGAGCTATTAAACTCTTGTATGTCCCATCCATTCAAGCCATTAATGTTTCCCGATCCAGCGAGACTGCCATCATTCTTGCTACCCCTGGCTTTACCATCAGCTCTATTATTATCATCATCACCATGCTCTGCTTCATTCTCGTCTTCATCGTCGTGACCATACAAGTGCTTGGGCTTTTCTTCATCTGGAAATATAAACGAGTCATCTGCAAAAGCTGCCAAATCTAGACTTAGCTGTCCATCAACATCAACATTGGGCGTGGCGCTCGAGCTGTCAGTGTTTGGTTGCGTTCCGTTGATGTAGTTGTCGATGTAGACAAGTTGCTCTAGCAACGCCGACGAGGTTAGTTCCTCACTCATGATTTATTGGTGGATTTACAAATAATTTCTTCAAACTGTTTTGTTTTAGTCGGATGATTTCCTTTTCTGTATTGTGGTTGTGGTTGTGTTGTGAGAACTCAGTATTCCAAGAATTTATAGTTTGATTCGTCAACTGTGGTGAAACAGTCGTAGTTGTGGTTGTGGTGGTGGTGGTGGTGGTAGTGATGCTACTGCTGCTGCTGTTATATTACGTTGCTGTCAATTACAAAAAACGCGGGAGGGATTCTGTCAATACTTTTATATCAACGATTACACTTGAACACACTTAATTTTTGTATATTATCTCCTCCTTTCTTTACTAAACAAAGCAACCGGAATAGCTTGTCTATTCTTTCGCTATCTCTAACCTTTTGGCTATTTGGTTTATTGTAATTTGAAAGACTCCACAGTTTTTGTTTTTGTTTTTTTTTTTTGTTTTCCCTCAGGATGGGTTTGTTGTCTGTTGTTATTTGTTATTTGCAGTCAAACAAAACGTTAAATACTGTTTGATGCTTTTGGTGCATATGTGTGTGTGTATGGATGTGATTATTGCATTGTGTCTCATACATTAAGCTAATTTATAATTTTAATGAAACAAACAAAATAAAAAAAAATGAAAAGCAGGCAATTGCACGTGACTGAGGGTGAAGATTGCTCATAGAACTATATGGAAGGTAGAAATATCGCAACATCAAAACTGTATACACTGTTAATTTTTATTTTTTTCCCGAAACGGGGATCTTCCTGTGCAACTCTCAGCTCTGTCAGACAACAGAAGAAGGCATTGATGTCGTGTGAGTGATTTTATTGACAACCACAGGCCGGTTCCTCTTTCATTTCATCGACAAACATAATCGTTTATTACTCAGTAGAGAAAGTCGCGCCACACTAATTTTGATATTTATATTCTTTTTTTTTTTTTCTTTTTCTTTTTCTTTTTTGTTTGTTTTTTTTTTTTCTTTGCTTTTATCAGTAATTGTATAACAACAATATTTTCAGGGGCGAGGTGAAGTTCATTTCCGCCTCCCGCCAGTATAACCCCGTCTCTGTCTGTAGTCCGACACACAACCGATTATCGTCTTCTTCTTCAACCCCATTTGTATATTTACAATGACACCAAAATAGGAGATAAAAGCACTGGAGAGTAAAGATTGGCATCCACACCAAACAGATGTTCCCCCTTTTCAACATAAACTGCGCGCACGTGGCTGACCACAAAAGTAAAATTCTTTCCACGGTTTTATGTACGGTTTTAACCCGCATTGGGATTGATTTCGGAACTATCTCTTACCACCGTCTTACTAACGAGCCAGATACAGCTTCGAACCCTGTAAAATGACCACCTATCGAGGGATCTTTAGTGGTTATCAAATGGCCACACAACCGCAAAATTGTATATCATGAGATGAAGGCACTACAATTTTGTAATAAAATCGATGCAAAATCGTGTGCAATCACAATCACGCGGTGCTCTCAATGCAAAATCTCGACAAATTTTGATGAATAAACGTCACGACAATTTTCTTTCATTAAAACTAATATACACACACATTGAAATAACTTAAAACCCACAAGAGCCGATCTAGGCTTATCAAAAAAATGAACTGAAACAGAAGCAAACAAACAAACAAACAAACAAACAAACAAACAAACATAACATGAAGGATATAACCAGCAACTACTCCACAATGTACAGCACTTAATGCTGAAACATTCTCAAATTTGCATTGAAATCTTTTGCTCTGACTGCCAATGGAGATTGGTTGGAAATCCTGAGTCTGTACTCTGCAAAAGTCCTGAATGAACCCTGAGCATTGCCTGTCTTGGTGGCAGTTGCGTTATCCACCACATTGTTGGATGTCTGCTTCAAAGTGGATCTGGTGGGTGAAGTTTTGGTGAATTGTTGCATGGAGCCTTTGTTGAATGCCCTTCTTGAAACTTGTGAAAATGATCTCTTAAACATGACTATTATACTTTGACTGGCTTATAGGATAAAGAAGCAAAGGAAAGGAGAGGAAAGTAGCACGCAAATCATGGAAGTTGTGGGTTTTTTTGATATTCTTATATAGAAAAGCGAAAAATTTGAGAAAGAAAATAAAAGTTGTACTAAAACCAAATTTTCCTCTTTTTTACACAGGAAAAAAGTACACAAAATTAGAGTACATACACAAAGTTGACAGTTAAATCATACCATAAACATCGATTCGTATTCCTTCTCACATCAAAATATTTGTAAGGGCTGGAAATCTGCAAGAGGTCGCAATGAGTGATCATCTACTACGGTTGTAAGGATACAAAGTATCACCTGTTTTTATTTTTAGCTAGCCATTAATGCACGCTCCCCGCAGTTTATTTCCAGTGTCTCTACGGTTTTTGTCTTTGAAATTTTTTGTTTTTTTGTTTTTTTGGCTCTCTTTTCAAGATGACTAATAAGGGGTTGTTGTGTGAAAAGCAAACATTTCATAGAATGAGGGGTTAGAATCCACCCTATTACGAGAGTCCCTTTTGCCCTTTACATAGCCACAATGCAAACAGGGCAGTATAAACTTTTGTTGCTGAGATTTTAAAGGAATGGTGGCAGTGAAGGGGTAGGTGATTTCAAATGTCAAGAACAATAAGAATCATTTGGAATACAATCAAAACATGTGGTGGTAAATGTGCATTTCGATCACAGAAACATTGCACCAACTATACATATGTGTTACGGACAAATGGGGGCAAAAATGAAAGTTCTTGTTTGCTTGTGTCAGAAGTAATCTCGTTTTTCTTTTTATGTTTTAAGTCAGTTTGTGTGATGTATGTTTAATTTTATTGTTATCATCAACCAATCAGCGACAAGCCTGGTAGCGTATCAGGTACTTTTAAAAAAATCACCATTGATTAATCCGAGCAAAAATAAATATTATCACATTCAAATTAACCCTACAGGGCTTTAAACCCCAAATGAAAATAAGAAAAAAAAAAAAAACCAGCAACAACAAAGCTGTAGCTGTCCTCATGACCCTTTATACAATCAGTAGGTAACAACTAACTCGCTGCTATACGTATTGCAGTGGTGTCGGGTGTCCGAGTCCGTAGTTCAATACAAACCATGGAGTCCAACTTTGTACGGTTTTTTTTTTCTATTTTGTAGCGGCATCGCTACTCCGCCTTTGGGAGAACTCTGTATTTTTCTTTTTCTTTTTCTTTTTCTAAAACTAAAATATTTTTTGTTGTTTTCGGATATTAATCTCCGATGTATCTGCTGCCAACACTCTGCGAAATAATAGGTAAAGTTTGGATCTTAGAATAGGAATAAGGGAAACCATTGTAGATAATGTACTGTGAGACCCTTCTATAACCATGCCCCCTTTACCCTCCGCTTCCCTCCCCTCCCCCTCTGCTCCTGACCTATTGTTCTATAATTCCACGAGGAGAGGCTGTTTGAATTATCACACCCTCGGTTGAATGAAAAAGTCAAAATTTTTGATTTACACCTAAAGTGAGGAACATGAACGCATTGCAAGTTATACCTCGGTGATATTCAGAGACTACACATGTGTAATTTATCTCAACCATTACATGGAGTCTGCTAACTGTAGCGTTTTCAATTCTGTTCCCTTCCTTCTCTGAACCAATCGCCGAATTCAACTCTGTCCGCTATCGCCCTATTACATCTCTCTTGACAACCCATGACTCATCCACAGAGCTCAACGTTGCACCAAGTTTAAAGACATTTTGCATTCCCATGGATACTTGTCGTCCATGAACATTGTTTGGACAATTGCAATTGTACTTTTTTTTTTCTTACTCAAGTCCACTATTGTTTTCTTTTTTGTATCACTTCGGAGTAATTTCGCCATCAACTTTGTGGTTCCAATCTGTACCCAAGAAGCGGTTAGCCTTCTCAGGCGTACTATAGGTAGTCATTAGACTTGAAACGTGCCCTAACAAAACTTGCAAAAACAATGGCATATTCAAAGTCCGCCAGATTAAGTGCAACTGCTGGGTATCTTACATCATCGGATTATATGCAGGACGGTTATCTTTGTTTTTTTTTTCTGTAAATTACTTTGATCAATCTCTGTCTTCAATATATAAATTCATCATCTAATCTCTATCAATTAATCAATTTCTATACCCAATCCCCTTTACATATCTCAACTAAAGCATTCAATCCGATACTTGAAACAAATAGTCACTTAGATATGACGTCCCTTCAACCAACTGTCACACAGGACGGGAAGATTAACCAGATGAGAAGAGCATCGTCGGTGTTGGGACCAATGAACAAAATCCTTGTCGCCAACAGAGGTGAGATTCCAATCAGAATCTTCAGAACTGCTCACGAGCTATCAATGCAAACTGTCGCTATATACTCACACGAAGACAGATTGTCAATGCATAGATTGAAGGCGGACGAATCTTATGTTATCGGCAAAAAGGGCCAATACTCCCCTGTTGGAGCTTACTTGCAAATCGATGAAATTATTGATATAGCCAAACAGCACAATGTCAACATGATCCACCCTGGATATGGCTTCCTCTCTGAAAATAGTGAATTCGCTAGAAAAGTGGAGGAGAACGGAATTTTATGGGTTGGACCCAGTTACAAGACAATTGATGCAGTGGGGGACAAAGTCAGTGCTAGAACTTTGGCAATTGAAAATAACGTTCCAGTAGTCCCAGGTACACCAGGCCCAATTGATGACGTTGCTGATGCAAGAAAGTTTGTTGAAAAATACGGATACCCAGTCATTATCAAAGCTGCTTTTGGTGGTGGTGGAAGAGGTATGAGAGTTGTTCGCGAAGGAGACGACATTGAAGATGCGTTTAAAAGAGCTACTTCTGAAGCAAAGACTGCTTTCGGCAATGGTACCTGTTTTATTGAAAGATTTTTGGACAAGCCTAAACATATTGAAGTTCAGTTGTTGGCGGATAACTATGGTAATGTCATACACTTGTTTGAAAGAGATTGTTCTGTGCAAAGGAGACATCAGAAAGTTGTTGAGATTGCTCCAGCAAAGAACCTACCAAAGGAAGTCAGAGACGCGATTTTGACCGATGCGGTGAAATTGGCCAAAAGTGCCAATTATAGAAATGCTGGTACTGCCGAGTTTTTGGTTGATGAGCAAAACAGACACTATTTCATTGAAATCAACCCAAGAATCCAAGTTGAGCACACCATCACTGAAGAAATTACTGGTGTTGATATTGTTGCGGCACAAATTCAAATTGCAGCTGGTGCTTCATTGCAACAATTGGGATTATTGCAGGATAAGATCACCACCCGAGGATTTGCTATTCAATGCAGAATTACAACGGAAGACCCTGCGAAAAACTTTCAACCAGACACTGGTAAAATTGAAGTTTACAAGTCTGCCGGTGGTAATGGTGTTAGATTGGATGGAGGTAATGGATTTGCCGGATCAGTCATTTCTCCTCATTACGACTCCATGTTGGTTAAATGCTCCTGTTCTGGATCAACCTTTGAAATTGCACGCAGGAAGATGTTGCGTGCATTAATCGAGTTTAGAATCAGAGGTGTCAAGACAAACATTCCATTTTTATTGGCCCTTTTGACCAATGACACTTTTATCAAAGGTGAATGCTGGACCACTTTTATTGATGATACACCTTCGTTGTTCCAAATGGTTAGCTCTCAAAACAGAGCCACCAAATTGTTGTTATATTTGGCAGATCTTTACGTGAATGGATCCTCGATCAAAGGTCAGATTGGGTATCCTAAATTGAACGAAGAAGCCATGATTCCGGTACTCCATGATCCAAAAACTGGAATCCCAATCGATGTAACTCACACTCCACCACCTCGCGGGTGGAGGCAAGTGTTGTTGGAAGAAGGACCAGAGGCATTTGCCAAAAAAGTCAGAGAGTACAAAGGAACTTTGATCACCGATACTACTTGGAGAGATGCACACCAATCCTTGTTGGCAACCAGAGTAAGAACCATTGATTTGTTGAACATTGCACCAACCACTGCATTTGCTTTGAATGGGGCTTTCTCACTTGAATGTTGGGGTGGGGCCACTTTTGATGTTTGTATGAGGTTCCTTTATGAAGACCCATGGGACAGATTGAGGAAATTGAGAGCTTTGGTTCCAAATATTCCATTCCAAATGTTGTTGAGAGGAGCAAATGGTGTTGCCTACTCCTCTTTACCTGATAATGCAATTGACCAATTTGTCAAAGAGGCCAAGGACAATGGAGTCGACATTTTCAGAGTCTTTGACGCATTGAATGACTTGGAACAGTTGAAAGTTGGTATTGATGCGGTTAAGAAAGCTGGTGGTGTTGTTGAAGCTACTGTATGCTACTCGGGTGACATGTTGAAGCCGGGCAAGAAATACAACTTGGAATATTACTTGTCTGTTGTCGATGAGATTGTCAAGATGGGCACTCACTTTTTGGGTATCAAGGATATGGCAGGTACTTTGAAACCGGCAGCAGCTAGACTTTTGGTGGGCGAAATCAGAAAACGTTATCCAGATTTGCCCATTCATGTTCATACCCATGACTCAGCCGGTACTGGTGTTACTTCAATGACGGAATGTGCGAAAGCGGGTGCTGATGTTGTGGATGCCGCATCCAATTCAATGTCAGGTTTGACATCACAACCATCAATCAGTGCCATATTGGCTTCATTTGAAGGTGCTATAAATACTGGCTTGAGTGAATCTTTAGTGAGAGAATTGGACACTTACTGGGCTGAAATGAGGTTGTTGTACTCCTGTTTTGAAGCTGACTTAAAGGGTCCCGATCCAGAAGTTTACTCACACGAGATCCCAGGTGGACAGTTGACCAACTTGTTGTTCCAGGCACAACAATTGGGATTAGGTGAGAAATGGTTACAAACAAAGGAAACTTACAAAATCGCCAACAAGATACTTGGTGATTTGGTTAAGGTGACACCAACTTCAAAAGTCGTTGGGGATTTGGCTCAGTTTATGGTGAGTAACTCGTTGACTGAAGAAGATGTTAATCGCCTTGCATCTGAATTGGACTTTCCTGATTCAGTTCTTGACTTTATGGAAGGATTGATGGGTAAACCATACGGTGGATTTCCTGAACCATTGCGTACCAATATCTTGGGGGATAAGCGTCGAAAATTGGACAAGCGTCCTGGATTGTATTTGAAACCAGTTGATTTTGCCGCCATTAAAAAGGAATTGACATCACGATACGGATCACAAATTGACGAATGTGACATTGCTTCTTATGTGATGTATCCAAAGGTTTTTGAAGCTTTCAGAAAACAAGTTGAAAAGTATGGTGATTTGAGCGTATTGCCAACTAGATTTTTCCTCAAGCCGGCAAATATTGGTGAAGAAATTGTTGTTGATATTGAAAAGGGTAAAACCTTGATTATCAAGTTGTTGGCAGTTGGTGAAATTTCCGAAAAGACTGGTACTCGTGAAGTGTTTTTCGAATTGAATGGTGAAATGAGGTCGGTTTCGGTTGATGACAAGACTGTTTCTGTTGAAACCAAGACGAGACCAAAGGCATCTGCACCTAATGATGTTGGTGCCCCAATGGCTGGTGTTGTCATTGAGGTTAGAACACACAAGCACCAAGAGGTCAAGAAGGGTGATCCAATTGCCGTGTTGTCTGCAATGAAGATGGAGATGGTTATTAGTGCTCCAGTGAGTGGTCTTGTTGATGATTTATTGGTAAGAGAGGGTGATTCGGTTGATGCTAATGATTTGATCACCAGCATTTTGAAGGCGTAGAGAATGGAGAGACGTGTATATTGGATATGGTTAATTGTAATAATAGAAGTATTGAATGTAGGACAAGATTGATGATGAAAGTAACTCTCTGTCGCTTGCTCAACTACCCATTGCCCAATTTTGGAGTAGAGCTCACAGTGATCAGGGCTTGCATAGAGATTTCCTATCGTATTGGCTTCCTCTTCAAACTCGGGCCATCAAATAGTCCCAACTCGCGTCTTCTTTTGTTAGCAATTTCATCCACTGTATTCCTTCTCTCCTGTTTTGCCATCACTTCCTTTTCCAAGCGTTTGTTCAAGGCCAAATTTTCCAGTTCATAATTCATCAATTTACGCAGTAGCAATTCAAGTTCAGCGTCATCGTTCTTATCCTGTGCTTGGAAACTGAGTGTGTCTTGTGATTCCAAATACCTCCCCTCAGAGTCATAGCCATTATCATCACCTTCTTCTTCCTCTTCTTCTTCTTCTTCTTCTTGCGGGTTCCATTGGGTATTATTGAGCATTTCGTGAGTAAAACTAGCTTGGGCTATAATGTCGCTCCATTTATTCATCATGATTAGAGCGTTGGCAGTGCCATTATTGAACTCCGCCATGTTCGATTTGACTGAATCTATTGCCGTCACCATTGAGGTTAACTTTGTATTGATTGAGCGTAGTTGTTTGAGTTCTTTGGCAAGGGCTGATTCACGCGGCGTGAGTGGGTCGTTTGTTTGTCTGCCTTGGTTCTGGCTCATCGTGTAAGGAGGGGGAGGTGGGGGGGGGGGAAAGAGGGGGGAGCGTTCGCGGGTTGAGCGGGGGACTTGCTTTAGGAGTATTGCTGTGTACCGAAGAGAGTAGCGAGTTCGTGAAGAAAGTCGTATGGTAGTATGGTGTTTTGTTTACTGTTTGGCGGTTCGCGCGTTCTTAGGGTTCTTATTGTTTTGGGTTTTTTTGTAGCGTTCATCGCTACCTGATGCAGAAACAGGAGGCTTGTTCGAAATGAAAAGACTAGTGATTTTGCTACCCTGTGACAGCAACGGGCACCTCTGGCAGAAAGGGAGTTGGATGCTACTTAGTTTCCTTATGTGTATATTGTATCTCTGACTTATGGGCTGGTAGACAGTTAGTATAATTTAAACCTTTTTTTTTTTTACCTTACTGTTACAAAATCATTGCAAGAAGTTTCAAAAATTAAAGCAGATAGGTCTTATGGGGTTGAAGCACTAGCCAAATTAGTACGTTGCTTCAGGGTAAGCCCAACTTTGCAATTGCTCCCGTGCTATTCAAAAAATCACGTTTTGCCAAGTGATGTTTGTATTGTCGTGTACGTGCCAAAGTTTTATATCAAAACGATTTATTTTTGAAAAATGATCAACAGAACGGTGTCAAAGCTAGATGCAACACCAACCAATCAGTGTATAATGACAGACCCCGACACAACCAGTCAACAGCCACCACAGCCATCACAATTGCCCCTACTGCCATCCAAAAACCAAGAGCAAGAAGAATACACCAAATTGGTCAATTCACTCCCCACGCGATGGGAAATTGAACTTGAGTTTGTACAATCATTAAGCAACATCCCCTACCTCAGCTATCTTGCCCAAAACAATTATCTTCAAGACCGCTGTTTTGTCAATTACTTGAAGTACTTGCAGTACTGGAGTGAGCCCCAGTACCTGCGATATTTAGTGTACCCTAATTGTTTACATATATTATCCTTGTTGCAACTGGAGCAATTTAGGCGAGATATAACCAATCCGGAGATTATGAATGTGTTGATGAATGACATGGTAAAGAGGTGGCAGGAAGGTGGGGATGGCGGCGTATCAGATATGAAAGATGGTGTTGCCAATGGAGAGGAGGAACTGCAATGCAATACGGTTGAAGTGGGATCGAAAGGATTCCACAGAAAAAATGGAGCAGAGAATGCTGTTGAGACCATCAAGGAGGAAAATGAAGATGTTGAGCAGAATGGTTTCGATGCAAAGACCGAGAAAGAAGCAGATGGCGACGTTAAAATCATAGAGTAGAAACTACTGAGACTCAAATCGCTCGACAAACTGAATTCCTGCCAAATCAAGGGGAGCCTTCACGCTTTATAAGAAATGTAATTGAAGGGTGGCTACCACCAAAATGTTGAAGTGGTGTTCAATCCTTTCGAGTGAATACCAGTAATACCATCGACGGAAAGTATATGCATATGACATGTTTGACGAGCTTGAGGTGGTCTAGTATCTTCTAGGGTACGATATCCTAGTGTCATTAACTTGAAATAGCTTTACATCTTAGCGCTTAGTTGTTTATTAGTCAGTGCAAGCACTCACTTAGAGTGCATCTACGGATGGATCTGTAGAGTTAAGAATAACCCGAACACCATTGACTTTGGGCTGCTATAACTGAACAGTCCTTCTTATAGCATTCCAAAGGAGCTACACCAAAGCCGTCGCCCCAAAGCCGTCACCGTCACCACAAGTCGTATTTAGACACCGAACACAATTGTCATGTAGACTATTAATAGAGACGGGTGTTTGTGTGTGATCGTTTATTTCTTTTTTTTTCTTGGCTTTGGTTCCGTATTTTTGACACCACCTAACGCCGATACCCTTCGTTAAAAACAATTGACACAAACAATTGTTCAATGGGAAGAAGATAAGAGAAAAGTATATGCTCAAAAAACCTGGTTTATCATGTTTGAGAGCTAATTAGCTGATTGGAGGTTGTCGACGAACTGCTCGCAAACTATGGAGAAAAATATACTTCCGAGCAAGCAAGGACGGAGTTTTTTCTCTTTTTCTTTTTTTTTTCTTTTTTGTATACGCAGGGAGCGTAGTACGAGTTACATGGGATATGCATTCTTTATGCGTGTCTGTGTCCTGATTTGTTTACTATCAACTTCCGAGATACCCATACGGTACATAGTCAGTATCTAATATGCAATTAGCTATAATAATACGGGACGGGAAAAGTAAGTATTGTTATATCTAACTTGTAATATTCTTCTCTTTTTTTTTTTTTTATTTTTATTAAAAGAAGTCCCCCACTTCTCTCTCTTCACGTACCCCAACTTCTTGTAAGGAGTCAAGGAGATAGAAGACAGGCGTTTAGCTTTAAAGTGAGTAAAGTAAAGTTGCATGTTACGTGGATTAATCCTCTCTTTGTCTTCTATACTATGATTTTGTGAGTCTGCGCTATTTTCTCAAATACTGTTTGGTCGGATATAAAAAAAAACAAAAATGAAAATAAAAAAAATAAAAAAGAATTACTGAGTGTTCCACTATAGTTATGAGTCTCCATCTAATAAGGGATGTTTTACAGTGCAAGGGGTTTTTTTTTTCTTCGAAACGCCTTGATTCTGCCCCTATTTAACGGTATTTATAAAATCTAAATCCCAAGCTAGTCATCAGCCAGCACTCAGGAAGCAAAACAACCCTAAATATACTGCTCTTGCTCTGAGGAAAAAGCTCGTGAAAACTTGACTTCCTAGCAAAACTCTGGATATGTACTCTCTTGAAAGCTTACCCAGCTCTACAATCACTACTCTGTATAGCCTTACCCGAAACAAGTGGTTGGTGTTCGAGGATTGGTGTAGGAAACGTATCTTACAAATCTGGTCTGTATATGTTTTGCAAACCGAGAAGCAGTGTTTGTGTTAGTTTATGACTATAGAAAAGTGTATAAAAAGAAAAAAAAAAAAAAAAATCGGCGTTTAAGTCCTAAAAATAGAATTGCAAATTCAAGCCCAATTATATGGTTTTTGTTTTATTTTTCTGTTCCATGGAATGGGGTTACTGTGAGCCCGTGTGGAGGGTAACAGTAAACAAATGTGAAGGCAAAGGCAACCCACTAGTCCTGGTTGGTGTACAACTGAGGTGTATTACAATATCCAAGACTGTGTAAGTAAACATACTAACGAGGTCACATGTTGTTGCTGGAGATCTGTACTGGTTACGAGCAGATTAGTAATAGACAAGTGTATTTTTTATTATTAGGGCAATATGCATCAATGCTGCGGCCCACGCTACACAGAAACGTATACAGAGAATAACCCAACAATAGAGGAACTATATTGTTACTAATAATATCTACGTATTGTTATGGCTTGTGACTAAGTCGAAGGTCACGATTTGCACACTTTACCTTTGTAAACACACAGATTCATCCAGTGTAAAATCGTTCTTGTCTTTAACAAAAACGTACAACACCGCATAATACTACACTAAAGTAACATTAAGCATTGTTTACTAACCCACCCCTTCACTTTTCTCACCTTTCTTTTATAAACTAAATACTTTCCTGTCCTATCAATTAGAACGTGGGTATACTTTCACATTTGGCTTTCTTTTTTTTTTTCCCCCTCATACTTTGCTACTATTACTATCACTACGATCCTGACCCATTTGTCAACAGTACCATTACTACATACATATAAACTTTCCTCGGATAATATCTCGAATCCAAAAGAAAGCGTCAACCAGGGGATTAGCAGCAGTAGTAAAGAGAGAAAAAAAATAATAATAAAAAAAAAAAAGAAATTTGAATTTATAAAACACTTTTCAGGGGGGTGTGTCAAAAAGGGTTTCCCACTTTCATTCAATACACTATTTTCATCCAATATCTTTTTAGCAAATCACATTCACCATCTTGCTTATACATTTATAGACAGAAAGTCTTGTTCGGGGGAAGCTTTGGAAAAAAAAATTGCATCAACAAATCACACTCAAAAGGGTTTCCAGATCTTGTACTTTTTTTTACTGTCACATGATCCTTTAGCTGAGAGAAGCAACAATAAGGGCTCATCGAGATTATATTCACACTACACAGTTTACCACTACCTTACAGTTGTAGAACACTATAGAGAGACTTACCACTGCAACTATCATCATCTCCACTGGAAGTTGCATTTTCAACTACATCAACCAAAAACAAAAAAACAACCTATCAAACCTTCAATAGTTCAGCCGTTTGCAACACATTTGTTTGCGATATTTTGATTCCTTTTCTTTTTTTTTTTTGCTTTTACCGCACCCTATTTTAGTTACAATTCGCCAGACATCAGCCCTAAAAATATGCCAGAAGAGAAGATTAGGTTAACCCAACTGGCTGACGATGATGAAGTTGTTTCGTTTGAGAGAAACGAGAATAGCACCATCGTGGGAAACAGTAAGAAAATAGACAACAAGAATAAAGAAAACATCATGTCAGACCACACGACACAAAAGAAGAGCAACAACAAGAACAACAACAAGAACAAGAACAAGAACAAGAACACACATAGGGAAAAGAAGAGCAACAGCAACCAAGAAAAAGATGTCACTGAACTGAAAAGTAAGATCAAAGGCAAGAACATCCGACAGAACGACATCAATGCAAAAAGTGCAACTGAAGACGAGACCAGTAACGACAACGAGACCAAAGACAGTGATAACAGTAATGACGAATTCAACGATGACAGCAAGAGGCGATGCAGCAAACTTCCAAAATTCAAACTACGGTGGATTGTGCATCCTTTAGCAATTGTGTTATACTCCTTCATTTTCAACTTGGTGGATATCATACTATTCACCAAGCTCACAAAACACTACCACTACACAAACTTTATTCCAATTGCATGCTTATTTTGTGACACCTTCATCTTCCTAATTGTTATTTACGAGCGTCACCCACATATCATCAAGCTAAACCGACGCTGGTCCAAGGGTTTATACTGGTTTGTTGACAAGATATTGAAAAAGGCCGTCTGGATTTTCCTTCTTGTGATGTGCATTCTTAAAGTTGTTATGCTATCGCTGGGTAAAATATCTAACCCATTGGATCTAGAAGAACATGTCGTTCACAGCTTGCATTTGACGAGTGCTGAAAGAATCTGCTACTTGATTATTAGTTTGTTGAGCTTATTATTCAACTGTGCTTTGTTGGGCATTTGGTGGTCAACTAACATTTCCTCGGTTTATTTGTTGTTTGCATCCATAAATTTTATTCAAATTTTAATCAGCATTGCCCTTATTCAAATCAATCTCGACTTGATTAACCTTTCACAAGATCGTTTTGCAAAGAGGATACACAACTTGTTCATCCTTAGCAATGCGTTTGCCATCGCCCAAAGTATTATGGGTGAGACAGTCACTTTGCTTATCAATGACAAGAACAGATTGAGCCCATTGATTGGAAGATTAATTTTCGCTTATGATTTATTGATATTCTTTATTGCTTTACTATACATTGCATGCACTGCGATAGCTAGTGTCAAATTTGATTACAGACCAGTGCAAACCTTGAATGAAGTTCCTGTTAGTGTACCAATTTTGTTTGGGTGTGGTTTGGGGATAATGATTTTGGAGTTTTTGTGTACGAGATACTTTCGTTTAAGAACAATGACTGCGCACTACGAAGTTGAAGAGTACGACTTGTGTGGATTGTCACCACACCAGAAAAAGGGATGGAGTAAGTTGATTGACTTGAATAGAAAGTACAATTCTGGAGTTTCTGGTGACAATGTCATTTCCTTGATGGAGAATTATGTTCATGCAGATTTACCTGGCATGAAATGCAAAGTATTGCGGGTATTCAACAAAAGCGAGCAAACAATACAGCAGGAGCAACAAAAGAGGCCCCTTTCACAAGCAATACGGTCGCTAAATGAAAAACAAGATGAAAAGAGTGCTTTTCACAGTGCAAGTAGATACAAGTCTCGGGACTCTGATGTTACTAGATACAGTTTTGATCACGAGGGGGGCAAAAGTGACAAGAGCAAGATGTATCGAGCTTTTGATGAATTGGACCAGGAGTCCTTGTTGTTTGCCAATGCGCCTACATTACACAGTTTTGATGAGTCAATGCATGACTTGGGGGAACAATTCAAACCTTTGAGCAAAAATCAATTGAAGAAATTGGCCAAAAAGAACAAAAAGGACAAAGCTGCTTTGGAGTTACAAGCATTGGAGAACAATACTGAAAAGTTTTACCAAGAGTTGATGAACACGCAAGCACTTGTATTGTTGACTATTGTTGAGGAGTTTGATTTGAGTGAACGTATTCCTGGATGGGTTGGTAAGAAAATCAACAAGTGGTTTGGCAAAAACTCAAAGCTCCCCTTGTTGTGTATCAAGTTTGGTTTATTAGGATTCCATTGGCCCTTCAAGAGATCGACGTTTTATTGTTCATCGACAAAAAAGCCCATTGCTAGGAGTGCCAGTGTGTTGTATGCCATTTCAGAATGGAACAAGAACAATGAGAAATGTACTGTCTTATTAGACCCCATATACAAAGATGCCACTTATGAAGCCGGCGTCGATTACTCTGGATGGGTCAAGATTAATTTGCCAAATAGTCATATTATTGATTTGCGTCCTTTCCACAACCAAACAAGTACTGATTATTTCAAGGCTATCAAATATAGAAATCAAGACAATGCATTCAAACAAGCCAAGGGACAAGTTATCGAATCAAACACTTTTAACTTTGAGAATTGTCAGGAAATCATTGTTATGAATGACCATATTGCCAATAGCCGTCAGCTGAATGGACAATCATCGCAACTACTCCACCCAGATTGGGAGTTTATTTACAATTTGGGTAACTACTGCAATGAAAAGAAGTATAGGTCGTTGCTTTTCCTTAAAGTTGATGATGAGATTGTCGCCTCGTGTGTTATTTTCCGGTTGGGTGAAACAATGACGTCTGATATTCAAGGCTTGAATCATGAGATTAGCAAGAAGTACAAGGCATATTTCGTCATGATGCAAGAAGTGATCAAGATGGGGTTGCGTGAAAATGTGTCGTTTATTGACTTTGGCCCAACTACGGAGGAAGCTAAAGTGGCTATTGGATGCAGTGTTGTGCCATTGATGGGATCCATCTATCCAAAGAGTAAATTCATGGGTCCTATAATTAAGTTTGCTGCTAGTAAGGTAGACGTATAGAGCAGATATAGTGTGAACCTAGATTTAAAATGTACGAATGGTTTATGAGACTTGCCGTAATTGCATTTTCGCTACCAAAGACACTCTCTGCATCCTTGCTATCAACTTAAAATTATAATGGTTGCGTGGCAAATCGAAAGTGAAAAAAAAAAAAAATTTATCATCACTGAGACCCCAAGCAATTAATCCGAAAATACACCCCTGTTTAATTTCATGTCCACGTCCAATTCACCACTGGCTCTCGAAAGCCGGTCGATATACGATAAACATGAACAACAAGTATCTTCCAAAATCAGCCAACTACGTCATGTACTCCTTCACAAATTCCGCCTCACCTTAAATGAATTTCTATTTTTATCTTCATTCATATTCAATTTCCTTCTTTCACGATTGATACATTACTCGTCGCCGCAAGAGGAAGTGTACAACTACTACAACAACAAGCATAATGTCTTCAACACACTTTTTGTGAAACGGGGATGGGGGTGGACGACATTTATCATTGTCGTGTTTTACGGTGTTGTGATAATACCCAAGTTGCTCAACTCAAGTAGTAGTGGCAGTGGCAGTGGCACCACCACCACCACCACCACACACTCCAAAGGCAACAACAACAACATCCCGCGAGAAAAGAAGGTTGAATTCCTAGTCAAGGCTGTGATTCGATACGCAATAGTCACATTTTGGTGGATCTTGTTTACGCAATGGTGTTTTGGGTTGCCTATAATGGACAAGATATTTGTGCTCACCGGTGGAGTTTGTGTCCTTGAACCAAACCCCACATCGGGCCAAGATGCACGTCCATTGGCTATAGCCAACCACGAATTGGGTCAACTGTTTTTACAAGATTTGGAAACTTTTGTATGGAAGAGTCACCAAGTGTCCTCATACCATTGTCGCAAGTTTAAAGGATCATGGTCAGGTGGGTATGATCCTAGTGGGCACGTATTTCTAATGATTCATTCATCGATTTACTTGTTTTTTGAAAGTGCCAATTGGTTCCAATTGCAAGATTTGGTAAATGTCGTTACGTTGATTAAGAAAAGTGTGCGTGAACGTGGGTATTTTGAACGTTACAAGTTTCAAGTGTTGCAAGGCGTTGCACAGCTCATGTTGGTGGGGTTGGTTTCGTTATGGTGGTTTATGTTGTTGATGACGAATGTATATTTCCATTCGATTCTTGAAAAGTTGTCTGGTTTGGCGTTTGGATATTTTGGAGTTCTTGTGGTGTATGTATTGCCTAGATGGTTTAGTTAGTACATTGACTGATTGCAACGTAGATATACATAGAGAGACTAATTTAATAATGTATGCTCTGTGAAACTGTTGCTTGTGGTTTAATGAGGAGTTGGCTGGAGGTTTGCCCCTTTTTCAGGAGAGTGATCAGTTGCAAAAAAGCTGACTAATAGGTTCCCACGGCTTTGGGCGGAGCTTCATGGTGATGAGTTCTCCGAATCTGGCGGCTCCGAGCTGAGTAACTCCGAAACCAAATTAATTTAGACCTTACAAAGTTAAATTACAACAACTATGTTGTGGCTCTCGTGCAAGATGAGATTAATTGCGACAAGGAGATCAAAGTGGTCTTTTGCACCGCATTTATCTTGATATTGACGGATTTAACTAATTACATAGCATGGCAAGGCAATTTGGTCCTCATCGTAAAAACTGTGGCTTGCTTGTTCTCTCAATTATTTGCATACAATTTAGTTTTGTGTTATTACGCCACTGTAAAGCAAAAATTTCCTTTCCTTCGCTCTTTTTGGCATCCTTTCAATAATGACACAAATGGGTTGAAGTGATGGATGTCAAAGCCACGGCATACTGCACTGCACAAAATTTTAATTTTTTCTTTTTTTTTCTGTTTTTTTTTGGGGGGTAGGCACAAATAATCAATCAGTGTTTAGTTTTGTATCTAACTAAAATTGTGTTTGTATGGTATATCTTGGTTTCTCACTCCCCCAAAATACTGGCAGGCACGTGAGATGGTGATTATTGTACAACTTTATACGGCGTTCTGCATCGCAGCCTCACTAATTGAATGGGAAATAAACGAGTATAGTAAATCTATACTCCCAAATCATATAAAGGAAGCCATGAAAGCTCCATAATATCCTTTGATGTTATTTGTTTTTGTTTGTTTTTTTCCCTAACCTCGCCAAGAAGGTGTTTCCAACATGAGTAAAGATCTGGATATTGAAATCACACAAAAAGTATCTGAGGTCGATCATTCATACGATCAAGCTCAGAAAGTCTCCGACGACAACATTGATGTTGAGTCCTCAATTAGTAAAGAATCGTTGCTAGAGCCAGATGTCGCAGAGCTTCCAAGAGTTGTTCGTGAAATAGTCCCCTTGGAAGATGACCCAACCATACCCGTATTGACATTCAGATATTTCCTTCTTTCGGTTATATTCATTGTACCCGGTGCATTCATAGACACAATGAACTCATTCAGAACCACATCAGCTGCGTATTCCATTTTCTTTGTTCAAATAGCTTGTCATTGGGTAGGCAAATGGCTCGCCAATGTATTACCAGACAAGAAAGTTGGATTTGGAAGATTCAAGTTTAGTTTAAATCCTGGTCCGTGGTCTATTAAAGAGACTGCCATGATTACAATAACCGCAAGTTCAGGAGCTACTGGGTCGCAGGGTATCAATTGCTTAGCTTTGGCTGAGTTATATTATGGAGAAACTGTGAACCCGGCAGTTGCAATATTCTTTATGTGGACAATCGTCTATGTGGGTTACTCGTATGCTGCACTTGCGAGAAACTTTTTGCTTTATGATCCACAGTTTATTTGGCCGCAAGCGTTGGTGCAAACAACATTGTTCCAAACTCAAAAAAAGTCCGATTCTGATTCAAAACAAGGCACAAAGCAAATGAGAGTGTTTTTCTTTGTGTTGATTGGGGTTTGTATCTGGCACTTTTTCCCGGAATATGTCTGGCCCATGACTTCATCATTGGCGTTTTTGTGCTGGGTTGCACCAGAAAACTATACTGCCAATTTCATTGGATCAGGATTGGGTGGTATGGGATTCATGAATATCACCTTGGATTGGTCCAACATCACCTCCTCAATCATGTTGTATCCCTACTGGGTCCAAGTTATTCAATTTGTTGCGTTTATCTTGGGCGCTTGGATCTTGATTCCACTGGTTAAATGGGGGAGCTTATCAGATTACAAATTTGGATTAATGTCAAACAGTCTCTTTTTAGCAAATGGCACCAAGTATCCAACAACGGATTTGTTGACTCCAGATTTGCAGTTAAATGTCACAAGGTATGACGAGTTGGGTCATGTTCATTTAGGTGCACAACGAGCATGGAACATGTTTTTTGACTATGCTGCTTATGTTTCCGGATTCACTTGGGTTGTTGTATTTGGATACAAAAGCTTGTCCAAGTCGTTCAAGAAATTGGTGGCTTCACGGAAAGAAAAAGGATCATTGAGTTTACAATACACTGATCGTTTGAATAAACTTCAAAGTGCTTACAAGGAGGTACCTTTGTACTGGTATGTCCTATTGTTTGCTGCATCATTCATCACCCTATTGGTTATTCTTGCCACTGATAGTTTGTTCATGCCTTGGTGGTGTTTGATTGTTGGATTGGCGTTTGGAATGGTTATTGTTACTCCACTCGCATGGTTGTACGCCTTGTCAAATTTCCAACTTGCCATTGGTACATTCAATGAATTGTTGTACGGGTATATGATCCAAAGTAAAAGTCTGAGACATCCTGCGGGAGCAACAGTTTATGGTGCTATTGCTGGTGATGCGTGGTACAGGGCGCAGTATATCTTGCAAGACCAGAAAATTGGTCATTATATGCACTTGCCACCAAGGGCCGTGTTTTTCTCGCAAATTTTTGGTGAATTGATTGGCATTCCCATAAATTATGCAGCATTGAGATGGGTATTGTCATCAAAGAAGGAATATCTTAATGGAACAAAAGTGGATCCACTCCACCAATGGACAGGACAAGAAATTGTTTCATACAATACCAATGCCATTCAATACGTTGTTCTCGGTCCCACAAGACTATTCAAAAACTATCAAGTGTTACCCTATGGGTTCTTGGTGGGGGCTTTGGCACCAGTGGCAATATATGCACTTTACAGACTATTCCCCAAGTCCAAACTCAAATTCAACTTGTGGAACACCACTGTGTTTTTCTCCACATTGTCAACTTTCTACGGAAACATTTCCACTGGACCATTTTCACAATTTGTTGGTGGTACAATCACAATGTTTTACGCATACAGATACAAGCATGACTTGTGGAAAAAATACAACTATTTATTGGCAGCTGCTATAGACACTGGTTACAATTTAGCTGTGTTGTTGATTTTTATAATATTCGCGTCGGGAAAGACTATATTGATGCCCAACTGGTGGGGGAATAACGAGCAAAGTGTAGAAAGATGTTTTGCTTTGGCCAAAGCGTCATAGGTTAAAGGTAATAAATTCACTAGCTTAAAGAGTCGATCGAATTCGTTGTAGGATTTTTATTTTTTTATTTTTATATCTATTTTTGCAACCAAGATGTATCACTTCTCTGCATAACTAACACCCGAATGCAGGAACAAGATTACCCGACCAAAGCTGAGTTTGCTCGCTACAGAAGAGAGCGTACTATTGGCTTGTTTTGGCGAGTATGCGAAACCGCTGGGGTTAGTTGTTTGATGATGGGTGCTTACGTATTTCTCGTGTCATGTACACCACTCAAGCCAAAAGGTCCAGGACTTATTAAAATCAAGATAGAGGCTGATTCAGACTTTGCCAAGAATACATTGGAGCTAATTCAGCAATCACTTAAATTTGCCACTTATCTTTCCAACGATTTAAGTTCGTTTGTGAATCAAACAACGAGCGATTCAATCTTGCAACAGTTGGACACCTTGTACAACGGCAACACGTACCAGCTAAACACATTTGGCTACTGCCGGCAAGATCAAATGGGAAATAGAGTAGGGTGTTACTTTAGTGATGGATTGAACTTGGTTGTGTGCTTACTACAAGATGTAGGGTTTCAATTACGAAGCATAACATCGAGTGATGATGAAATTGAAGATCAATTTGTAAACCTATACTACAACGCCATCAATCAAGCATGCTCATACCGTGTTACAACAACTTTTCCTTGCGTTCTCCAATTGTACAATGCCTATGGAAAGCTCGTTCAATGGCTTGCTGTCGCTGGCATTTGCTTACCTATGTTAGTGCTTTTATTGAGCATTGTCGATTTGATTTTGTATGTATTCTTGGGAGTACTGTCGCGTATGTTACAAAGAATACGTTTGGGGACTTTGGCAACTTGTGGGGTGTGTTTAAACCTAATCTACATATTAACATATCTCACCTGGAACGAGATTGGTTTGTTGGTGGAAAAGTATGAGATGGGCAGAGTTGAGTTGCAAAATGATTTTTGCATCAGTTTGAATATAGTACTTGCAGCATGTTTGGTCCTTGTAGGGGGCCAATACTACAAGCGAATGTGATTCAACTCATATATGCGTATATTCCACTATCTTTAATTTCCGTAAACTTTCTTGAAAGCCTGGTCGAAATCTTCAATGATATCGTCTATAAACTCAGTACCAATAGACACTCTGACCAAACCCTTTGAAACACCAGAAGCTTTCTTTTCATCTTCATCCAACTGCTGATGAGTAGTAAAGTACGGTGCAATGACTAAAGTCTTGGAGTCACCAACATTTGCCAAGTTTGAAGCAATTTTCAAATTGTCAACAACCTTTGGTGAAGCTTCTTGGAATGGATCAGATGAGTTTGACTCAATGTCTTTGACAGTAAATGACAAGGTACCACCAAAGAATTTGGCATTATTGTTGAAATACTTTTTGGCCAACTCGTGTGACTCATGCGATGGTAACCCAACATAGGAAACGGAGTCAACATGTGGGTTCAGCTCCAACCATTTAGCCAATTTCAAGGCATTCTCACTCTGTCTTTCGACTCTCAAGCTCAAAGTTTCCAAACCTTGCAAAAGCAAAAATGAACCAAATGGATTCAAAGCTGGACCCAAGTCACGTAATAATTCAATTCTCAAATGACCAATAAAAGCACTTTCTTTCAAAGCATCGTTCAAAATCAAACCATGGTACCCCTCAGAAGGTTTGGAAAATTGGGGAAATTTTTCAGGATACTTTGTCCATGGGAATTTACCAGAGTCTACAACAACACCGGCAATAGTGGTGCCGTGTCCGCCAATCCATTTAGTGGCTGAATGAACAACAATATCAGCCCCATACTTGATAGGATTGACCAAAAATCCACCAGCTCCAAACGTGTTGTCAACAACAACTGGAATACCATTGTCATGGGCCAACTTTACGATTTTCTCGAAATCGGGGACATTATATTTTGGATTTCCAATACTTTCCAAGTAAATAGCCTTAGTCTTGTCGTCAATCAATTTAGCGAAATCTTCAACCTTGTCACCATTGACAAATCTAGCCTCAATACCAAATCTTTTGAAAGCAACTTTGAATTGGTTATAAGTACCTCCATACAAGTAAGACGTACTAAGGAAATTGTCACCAGAGTGGGCCAAACCGGCAATGGCCAACAATTGTGCCGCTTGACCAGATGAAGTGGCCAAAGCGCCAATACCCCCTTCGAGGGCGGCAATTCTTTGCTCAAATACGTCGTTTGTTGGGTTCATGATTCTGGAGTAGATGTAACCAGGAGTTTCCAATCCAAACAATTGAGCACCATGTTTGGAGTCGTTGAAAACGTAGGAACTAGTAGCGTAAATCGGTGGTGCTCTGGCATTGTATGGCTTGTCGACTGGCTGACCAGCGTGCAATTGAAGAGTATCGAAGTGAGAAGGCATTGTGTATGGGTGTGATTTGGGGGTAGATATGTATACTCAAAACAACTTTCTCTTCAAAAATTGGAGAAATAAGGAGGTTATTTTATAGTGTGAAATAAAGTGGGTTGATTGAACTGTGGTTCAATAATTTTTAAAAGAAAGTAAATTTCAGTTACACAATAAGGATACGAGTTTGTGTTATAATAGGACTAATTGCACATGACTGGGTTCCGAACCGACTAATCATCAAAACTCAAATACAAGAAGGGCATAATGCTTCACCTTCAAATATTGATTAGAAAGCACCGCATTGAGAACAGTTAGTATATCTGGCTGTGCACTTGGACTCAATTTTCTCATCTATTTTTCTTCCTTTCTTTTTGTTTTTTTCTTTTTTTTTTCTTGCAAAATTTGCTTCTTTACAACTTCAAAGTTTTTCTTTTAGAAATATTCTTTCAATTGACTTCAAATAGCTCAAAGCTGAGCTTCAAGTGGGCGATTATTGCTACTGAGGCAACAGAGCTGCTACTAAACAGAATCTACTTTCTTTTGGTTTCAGTCAAGTGCAGGTTCCACTCTTCCCCCTATTTCTTACAATGTAGTAGGTCTTTGAGTCTCTCTCATTTAGGAAATTGTTAGCTGTTAACAAAACAACAACAACAACAAAAAATAAAAAGTGTAAACAAAACTTTCTTCCATACTACAATATTTGCGATTCCAAGTCTCAATAATCATGTGTATTGCCACCAGAATAACTTTCAGTTAGACCTCTCACCACGACTCCCATTCTTGTTCCCATGAGACAGGTCTATCAATGCAGCGGCACAACACAGAAGGGGGAACGTTGTAAACGAACTGTCAAGGTTGAACATGGCTTTTGTTCGTATCATGTATCTCAAACCGGCACATTATCCAAACACAATCAGTATCGAGGACATCGAATGGCGACTTCAAATAACGAGAAACTGACTTCTGGAGATAGACCACACGTGGTAAAGAAAGAAAGAACTCCATTGCATCAGCAATATACCATGCCGGGTCAATTTGAGAGTCTTCGATCGAAAAAAAGTGACACACCATCTGTCCAACCCCATCGGTACAGTGGCAGACCAACGAAATCAACACGTCCACGAATAGGCGACTACGACACATTTGCTGACAACAAGCCCTCCATTGCAACTTCAAAAGGAAAGGGGTATATTTACATCTACACCATGCAAAATTTCCTTCATCCACCCAAAGGATGGACATTCAAGGTCAAGAATATCCCCAATACATCAAGTCGAAAAAAGGACCAATGGGTCAAGTTCAAAAGCCAAAGTTCACCATTCATCTTGATCAAAGTGGGCATGACTACCCAGCTCCCAAACGTCCGCATCAAGCAATGGGAGAATCAATGCAAGCACGAACTTGTCAATATAGGACCGCAAAATGAACACTTGATAAAAACTCGACTACACTGGTGGCAAAAGTTTTTCTGTTTGAGCATTAATGATGATGGCGATGATTCCAAAGTGCGGGTGAGTCGGTTCAAGAAGGACGGGTTTTATTGTGAGGAAAATGTCCGCGTTGTGGAAAGTATGATTCATCAACAATTGAAGAAAAAGTATGGTAAGGGCGATGTTTACTGCAGCGGATGTGTAGCCGAGGATGCACTAACTAAGAATAAGAATAAGGTAAAAGTGCCATTGCAAAATAACTACAACGTGCATGTGGAGTGGTTCTTGATACCAAAGCAAGACTTGAGAGACGTGTACCGAATCATTGATCAAACGTGTAGATCTATAGGATGAGACACATACACAATTAAAAGCGTTTGAATTTTTCATTTTAACTGTAATACAAAGTTATACAAAAAAAAATATATAAAAAGAAGTACATTTTTATTTTTAACTCACTAAGTGTTCATGTAGGTTGATGGATCAACACCTTCTTCCGGGAACTCAGTAATCTTGACATCGAATCTGCTTTGAATCTTTTCCAAAACTTCTTCATCCTCTTTTGAGGAAACAAAAGAAATACCTAAACCTTTGGTACCGAATCTACCAGCTCTACCGACTCTGTGCAAGTATTGATCAGCTTCATTTGGCAAATCATAGTTGATGGCCAAGTTGATTCTTTCAATATCGATACCTCTACCAAAGACATCAGTTGAAACACAAATTCTTTTGTTGAACTCCTTGAATGATCTATATCTTTCAATTCTTTCTTCTTGTGGGATACCAGAGTGCACAGCAATGGAAGGGAAGTTACAAGCACACAACAACTTGTTCAATTCATTTGCTCTTTGAGTGGACTTGACAAAGATAATAACTTGATTGAATTCCAAAGAGTCCAACAAATCAGACAATTTTCTGTTCTTTTCCTTCTCCTCCAACTTGATGTAGTATTGCTGTAAACCGTGCAAGGTCAACTTAGCTTCATCATCAACATAAATCTCCAATGGGTTTTGCATAAATTTCTTACAAACTGGACGGATATCTTGAGACAAGGTAGCCGAAAACATCATGACTTGCTTTTGGTGTGGAGTAGCACGGAAAATATCTTGGACATCTCTTCTCATATCGATTGCCTCCAAAACTTTATCACACTCATCAATGACAAATGACTTGACATTGTTCAATCTGATAGCCTTGTCTTGAACCAAAGCGTGCAATCTACCAGGAGTGGCAACAACAATATGTGGGCATGTGTCCTTGTTTTTCAATTTTTCAATATCTCTCTTGATTGGGGTACCCCCATAAAAGACTTCAGTCTTGACATCTGGCATATATTTGGAGAATCTGGCATACTCATTCTTGATTTGATACGCCAATTCTCTTGTGTGACAAATGACCAAAGTGGAGATTTCGCCCGGAACTGGGTCCAATTGTTGTAAAGTGGACAAAACAAAGACGGCGGTTTTACCTAAACCGGATTTGGCTTGACATAAAACATCGGTACCCAAAATGGACTGAGGAATACAAACTTGTTGGACTGGAATTGAATGTTAGTTGGGTCGTCTTTTGGAATGTGTCGAAGAACATGCAGTTTTCTTGAGATGGACCAGAACCAGCCCACTTAAACATCAGCTAGCAAAACTGCACCGACCTAATCAAATCCTTCTTCAGGTCTCGTTAATAGGAGATAAAAAACCTGATTATGAATTTCGCAAACCATTTCAAACGATATTGCAACGTTTCTGCCCTGGCTGATGTTTGGTCATAGTAAGTACCATCAAAAGAAAACTATCCAAGTCACTTCATATTTTGTTTCAAAAAGAAAAATAGTACGCACCTTCTGATGGATGTTCAAAACCGCAATCCCCAATAGCTCTCAACAATTCGGGCTTCAACAAAAAGTCTCTGAAACCGGTGGCGTGAATACCAACGTAAGAACCTTTTTTATCAGCCTCTTTATCATTGGTGGCCTCGCCATCACCACCAGCTTGAGTGGTGGTTGGTACGGCAATTTCTTCCGAGTCAGAATAGTCTAACAATTCTTCTTGACCTTCGTGAGACATGTTAATGAGATGTATTGAGTACTTGGTATGTGTCAGATGAAGATTAATATCAATCGACTGTCAGTAGTAGTGTTAGATTTCTTTTGGGTTGTCGTTTTTTATTTTTTTTTCTGTTGTTGTTGAAATTTTTCAGACAAGTCGTGCATTAGTGCACAGATTGACAAACACCATATATTGTAACTATCTCCAGCAAAAAGAAATGGCCCTTCGAGCAGACAACTTCAGTAGAGAAGCAAAGATGTTGAGAAATAACTTTAGAGTTAGACCAGTGGTATATACCTTGGCTCAGGTCAACAGAAGAGCCTTCACTAACACTACAGCTAAATTTTTCTTTGACAAAGCACCATCACCAGAGCAACAAGAACAAGCATTTAGCAAGGTTAAAAAGATTTTGTCAGAGAACCCAGAATTGATGCAATTGACAGTTGAGTTTAAGGAATTGTTGAGCAGAAAGGGTCTCTTGTCCTCGGGAAAGCCATCGATCACTCAAATGATGAAATTATTGGCCGACAAGGAAGTGAGAGAACATGGTGCTAAATTGAAAAAGTTTTTGGACTCGCAAGAGACGGGATTGACTCAAGAAGAGTTGGCAACGTTAACTGGTGCTTACATGTTTCAAAACAAGGATCTCAAATAGAATGTACATAGATGAAACTTGAATAAAAAGAGAAGCTTACTTCTTGGCAAAGGAAGCTGAAATGTTTGCTGCTTCTTCAATACCTCTGGCAATTGTACTTCTCAATGCACCATCCTCCATTTTCAACAAGCCTCCAATAGTGGTTCCTCCTGGTGTACAAACTTTGCTTTTCAATGCGGCGGGATGGTCCCCCGTTTCAATCAACATCTTTGCCGTTCCTTCCATCACTTTTGCAGCGGAGATCCTTGCCACATCATACGACATACCCATTCTCACTGCTCCATCAATCATCGACTCCATCATCAATAGACAAAATGCAGGACCGGAACCAATCAATGAGGTGGCGATATCCATATTCTTTTCTGGAATGGTGACAGTCAATCCAATGGGCTCAATCAACTTCTTTACAAGGTCTTGTTGGTCCTTGGTTACTGCCGGTGCAAATGAAATTGCCGCAGTTCCACATCCGTACCTGGCAGGTGTATTGGTCATAACTTTGGCAACATATTTGGTGAATATAGACAACTCTTTGATAGTGACACCAGCCATCAATGAGATCACGAGTTGGTCGCCAGTGAGTGAATCTTTGACCTGTTCGTAAACCTCCTCGTACATAAATGGTTTGAGACCCAAGATGATAACATCAGCTTCCTTCACAGCTTTACGATTGTCATCGACATTCGACGACAATTGAACAATTGGTTCGTCTTTAAATTGCTTTGACAAAGCTTCTGGTTCGGCAGTGCAGAGAATCATCTTTTTTGGAAAGGGTTCAAATTTTGATTTCAAAATGGCCGAAGTTACGGCGGAACCCATTACACCGCACCCCAACACAGTAATTGTATAATCTTTCATTCCGGATTGAATGTAGTTTGCTTTTGAGTAGTGGAGATTCTTTTAAAACTTGGATAAACTCGGTATACTTTTCCTTTTTAATTGGGGTTTGAAAAATTTCAACGAAGATTGTTGACTCATTACACAAAAGATGTATTTTAATTCTATTCTTTTTTTTTTTTGATATCCCACAAACAATTCGTTTCGCTTTATCTTTCCGCATTGGGAACTCTAAGTGGAAATCAGTTGATTCTTCTTCCTTTTTTTTTTTTCAAGGAGAACACCGGAAAGATTAGTCTACCCTACAACAACCAATTAGCAGCATCTCAGTCAAGAAGAGAATTCTAACTTTGATAGTTCTATTGGAACCTACTGTGAAGTGTTTATCTGCAAGTCTTGCTAGTTAGTTCACAGCAACTAGGAAATTGAAAGATAGAAAAGGAGAGAAGGAAGCAAGAAAAAAAAAAATAAAAAAATAAAAAAAAAAAAAAAAAACCGTCTGATTCAGAGACGTTGCAAAAATTAGACGGAATTCTAAAGAAAGGAGGGTGTTTGCAAACACAGAATTTTATTGTACAGACTTACTTCTATTGCTGAAAGTTCGTTGTCGCTTGCATTGTCAGATTTGATTGACACCCATATTGTGACCATTTGCTTGACTTGAAATGTCCAAATTTGATAAAAGTCTTTTGACTCCGTGTCCAACTTTACGTCCTTCCGAGGCAGAGTTTATGGATCCGATTGGATACTTATCCAGTGGTCCCATATCGGAATTGGGTAAGAAGTATGGTATTGTCAAAATTGTGCCTCCCGAGGACTGGAGACCCAGTTTTCAAATTTCGGCATCTTTCAAGTTTCACGTGAGACAACAAGTCATCAGTGACTTGGGGATTACCACTAGATCAAGAAAGTTCTTTAGGGAGAGCATCAATAGGTTTTTGAATATGAGAAGAAAGCGGTTATTGAAGCTATATTTCAAGATTGAGGGCAAGAAAATTCACTATTACGATTTATACGTGCTTGTGGAGAAATTAGGTGGCTTTCAAGCGATGGACAAGTCAAAATGGCAACAAGTGAATGCCACTTTTGGTGTTGACCTGAAATCTAGGGTGATTGAATTGGAGTATAATGCCTCCATCAAACACTACGCCAATTTTTTGAAGTTTAATAAATCAGTTGAATTTCCTGATAGTGATTCAGATAGCGAATCTGAAAACTGTGTTGTATGCGGAGACAATGATGACCCTCAAGAGACTTTGCTTTGTGATAACTGTGACCACGCTTTCCACATGAAATGTTTGAATCCACCATTGGACCAGATCCCAGCAACGAATTGGTATTGTGACAAGTGCCTTGTTGGGACTGGGGAATATGGATTTGAGGAGCATCCCGAGATTAAGTACACCATCCCTGAATTTTACCAAATGTGTAAAGAGTTTGATGAAAAATTTGCCCAGGAGTACAATGATGGGAAGAGGCCAACTTTGAACGAACTAGAGGAAAAATTTTGGAACTTTGTGGATATTGAAAAGTCAGATTTGGAAGTGTTGTATGGAGCAGATATACATAACTTGAAACCGGGTGAAATAAGTGGGTTCCCAATGGTGAACACACCAGGACTAGATGTGGCCAATGCCGAGAATCGATTCTACATTAATCATCCGTACAATCTCACAAAGTTGCCATTTGCCAAAGGGTCACTACTTAATTACATCAACACGTCAATATCGGGCATGACTGTGCCGTGGATTTACATTGGCTCACTCCTTTCAACGTTCTGTTGGCATGTTGAAGATCATTACACATTGTCAGCCAATTACTGTCACTTTGGTGCCACCAAAAAATGGTATGGGATACCTTCCTCTCATGCTGATCAATTTGAGGCCTTGATGAGAAAATCTGCCCCAGACTTGTTCAAGAAGCAACCGGATCTATTGCACCAATTAGTCACGCTAATAAACCCCGCTGAGTTGGTGCGGAACGGAATCCCATGCGTTTATGCTGATCAAGGACCGAGAGAATTTGTGATTACGTATCCAAGAGTTTACCATGCCGGATTCAATAGTGGCTTCAACTTTAATGAAGCCGTTAATTTCGCCATGGATGATTGGTTAGAGTTTGGAGAGCGATCAGTGTTCGATTACAGGCCGATTAAGAAGGAGGATGTTTTTAATTATTATGAGCTTGTGGAGAATATTTTGAAAGATTTCAACCATCATTCGAAAAGTGGGAATGTGAATTTGGCAAAGAGGAGTATAAGCGTGCTCGAGAGGTTTTTGAGTCAGCAAGAGAGACTTTTGGATCATGCAAGGTTCAAGAATGTGGACATTGCATACAGGCCAAAGACTTACAAGAAACGGCGATTCGATTTGGAGCAAAATGGTGAGGTTGGAGACGAGGAGGAAGATTTGTGTTTTAATTGCAAAACTCATTTGGGATATCAATATTGCGAGTTGGATGATTCCTTTGATGAAAATGGCAAAGAAGCAACTGAAGAAGTAAAGCGTGAAGATATTCCAATTACACACAACGACCAGCTTCTTACTCCAGAAGTCTCGCCACAAGAAATGGTTCTGAAGGATTCTTCCCATTTTAAGGCAAGCGAGGTATCCAAGTCATCCAGCTCTAAGCAACTACAAACCGTTACTAAATCTGCTTGTATGATGGATGAATTTGACGAATTGATTTCAGAAGCACGAAAGAGATCTTGCGAGCCAGAAGAGGAGTCTGAGTGCAAGAGGCGAAAGTCAAAGAGATTATCGTCGTTGGAAGAGCAGCAATTTCAGAAGCAAGAGATATGTACGCACATAAAAGAAAAGACCAACGGAATGAGAAGGATGAGTCACAAGAAGAGGAGGAGCAAGACTGAGATCAATGAGCCAAAGAAGTTTTGCTTACAATGTACTTTGAAATCTGATCAAGCACCAGGTGGTATTAAAGTTATCTACCAAAATTATCCCCAGCAATTGAGACAAATTATTGATGAAGCAAAGTTCAAAGTCAATTCAATACCAGTTGTATAGTTATGTAGGCCATGAAACAATTACTTTTTTTCCATTTCATTTTCGTTCCATGTTTATAGTTTGCAAAGTGAGTTGCAAAAATGCAGTTGGTAGCGGTTGTGTTCATGGCTGATTGCACACTAACTTACAATGAATCCGTTGATTTCATTGGCCAGACGGAAATATTTATTTATTTTTTTTTTTTTCTCTCTTTTCCATTGGTGTGTGTGTGTAGAGTAACAGAAATGGTAGCAGCACTCTTTTTTTCCACCCAATAAAATTTAACTGTACTAGTCAATATGTGCGTTTTATTGTACTGTGTGTATGAAACAAAAAAAAAAAAAATTATCAACGACTTTAAAAGCTTTCAACAATTTTTTTTTTCTCTCTCTCTCTCTCTCTCTCTTCCTGATATTTTCACTCTTCAGTAACGTTTTATTTGACTACAGCATTTTGCCATCAGATAGCCAGAGTTTTGTTCTAAACTATAACGATGGTGTTGCCAAGATTATTTAATGCTACGTCGCGTACTGCTGTACAAGCAGCCAGATCATCCACCAGATCTTTAGCCACTGCTGCTAAAGCTGCTGATGGTAAAGTCAGGTATGTTTTCCGATTCACATTCTGAAAAAGAATCAATTCAATCTAGGAAGTCAATTTCCATGAGGCCAATTGGTTGTAATGGAGTGACCCATTGGAACGTAGTCCACTTGTCATTGGCCAATTTGGTGCAAATTGAGTTTCGGAGCATACGTGGGGTTCACTTACAGTAGGGAACTTTGTGAGAGACAGACGATCAGCTTCCAAGTTGACATTGCCCTCATCTCACTATCATCACGTTAATTGTGGCACCACACTGAATCCAATTGATGTTGTCCCTCTTGTCGGCATTCACTTTAATGTCGTCCCCTCATTGGACGATGCTGGGACAATTTTTTTTTTTGGTCTGCGGTACACGTCCGTGAAAAATTTCCAACCGTCCAACAAATGAACCCATTGAATTGAGCTAGATTCTTTCCTCATTTCAGCGCACAATACTAACAAACTTATCTCTTTAGAGCTGTTATTGGTGCCGTCGTTGATGTCCAATTCGAAGAAGGAAACTTGCCAGCTATTTTGAACGCTTTGACCTTGAAGAACGGTAAACAAGACTTGGTTTTGGAAGTCGCTCAACATTTGGGTGAAAACACCGTTAGGGCAATTGCTATGGATGGTACTGAAGGTTTGGTTAGAGGTACTTCCGTCACTGACACTGGTGCCCCAATCTCTGTCCCAGTTGGTAGAGGTACCTTGGGTAGAATCATCAATGTTACTGGTGACCCAATTGATGAAAGAGGTCCAATTGAGTGTAAAAAGAGAAACCCAATCCACGCTGAACCACCTTCATTCATTGAGCAATCTACTGCTGCTGAAGTTTTGGAAACCGGTATCAAGGTTGTCGATTTGTTGGCCCCATACGCCAGAGGTGGTAAGATTGGTTTGTTCGGTGGTGCCGGTGTCGGTAAGACCGTCTTTATCCAAGAATTGATTAACAACATTGCCAAGGCTCATGGTGGTTTCTCAGTCTTTACCGGTGTCGGTGAAAGAACCAGAGAAGGTAACGATTTATACCGTGAAATGAAGGAAACAGGTGTTATCAACTTGGAAGGTGACTCCAAGGTCGCTTTGGTCTTTGGTCAAATGAACGAACCACCTGGAGCTAGAGCTAGAGTTGCTTTGACCGGTTTGACCATTGCCGAGTACTTCAGAGATGAAGAAGGTCAAGATGTCTTGTTGTTCATTGACAACATTTTCAGATTCACCCAAGCTGGTTCAGAAGTGTCTGCCTTGTTGGGTCGTATTCCATCCGCTGTTGGTTATCAACCAACTTTGGCCACCGATATGGGTCTTTTGCAAGAACGTATTACCACCACCAAGAAGGGTTCAGTCACCTCAGTCCAAGCCGTTTACGTGCCAGCTGATGATTTGACCGATCCTGCTCCAGCCACCACCTTCGCTCACTTGGATGCCACCACTGTGTTGTCCAGAGGTATTTCTGAATTGGGTATCTACCCAGCTGTCGATCCATTGGACTCCAAGTCAAGATTGTTGGATGCTGCTGTTGTTGGTCAAGAACATTACGATGTTGCCACCGGTGTCCAACAAACTTTACAAGCTTACAAGTCTTTACAAGATATCATTGCTATCTTGGGTATGGATGAATTGTCAGAACAAGATAAATTGACCGTCGAGAGAGCTCGTAAGATTCAAAGATTCTTGTCTCAACCATTTGCTGTCGCTGAAGTCTTCACTGGTATCCCAGGTAAATTAGTCAGATTGTCTGAAACTGTCAAATCATTCAAGGAAGTCTTGGCCGGTAAGTACGACAACTTGCCAGAAAATGCTTTCTATATGGTTGGTGGTATCGAAGATGCTGTTGCCAAGGCTGAAAAGATGGCTTCTGAAGCTAAGTAAAGAGTGCATCAGTAGGTTTAAAAAGATATAGCACACATATATATATATATATATATTCATAGCTACTAAGGTTTTAGACTTTTTTGGTTAACAAAAATGAAAATAAAATGAATACAGAATTATAGAACGGGGAGATTGTAGAAGAGGAGATGATTCGGTAGTGTTGATGGACTCTTTGTTGTACAGCATCAAAAATTGAGGCTGGTACGCGAAAAAAAAAGAAAAAAAAAAAAAAGATACAACAGAGTGGCCAAAAAGTTTCTTGCTCACATTTGTATAGCTCTATCAAAGGAAAGACCATGGTTTCAATAGTAGATGTATGTTGAGGCAACTACCCTATCTAGCCCATTAGAAATTAATTACTAACCTCAGCAACCAGTCATTGTCATTCTTAGATAGTCCCAAAATCAATTGGAAGTTGATCATTGCCGGATTTACAGTTGGTCAATATGTGTTTGAAACTTATCTCGATTATAGACAGTACCAGGTCTTAAAGAACAAATCGCCACCGGCATCCATAAAAGCAGAAGTAGATCAAGCCACTTTTGACAAATCACAGAAATATTCCCGTTCAAAAGCGAAATTTTCCATTTTTTCATCCACGTTTGGCTTGTTGCAAAACTTGGCGATTTTGCACTATGACTTTTTGCCCAAACTTTGGACTAAAAGTGGAGCTGTTATGGATGCGATAAGTTTCCTCTTGCCCAAATTCATGGGCGGTGTCATTACTCAATCAATTCTTTTCGTGTTCAATTTCCTGGTGATTAGCACCATTGTTGGTTTGCCCTTGAGTTATTATAGTAATTTTGTCTTGGAAGAAAAATATGGTTTCAACAAGCAAACGATTGGATTGTGGATTACTGACAAGTTGAAAGGTATTGCGCTTACTCTCGTTTTGGGATCTCCAGTTATTGCTGGTGTGTTGAAGATTATCGACTATTTTGGCAACTCTTTCATTTTCTACTTGATGGGATTCTTTTTGTTTGTGAACTTGGTTGCGATGACGATTGTTCCTACTTTGATAATGCCTTTATTCAACAAATTCACCCCGTTGGAAGATGGAGAATTAAAGACAGCTATTGAAGCCTTGGCCTCAGCACAGAAATTCCCATTACAAAAGTTGCAAGTCATTGATGGATCAAAACGTTCTTCCCATTCGAATGCTTACTTTACTGGTTTACCATGGAGTAAACAAATTGTTTTATTCGACACTTTGATTGAGCATAACACAACTGAGGAAACGGTTGCGGTGTTGGCGCATGAAATTGGCCATTGGAGATTGAACCATATTCCCAAAATGCTTGCCATGCAACAGGCCCATTTTTTCATAATCTTTTCCTTGTTCTCAGCTTTTGTAAATAACAAATCTTTGTACGCCTCATTTGGATTCTACAGCCAACAGCCAATCTTGATTGGTCTCATGCTTTTTAGTGACATCTTGCAGCCATTGGAGTGTGTCTTGACTTTTGTTCAAAATTTGGTGTCGAGAAAACACGAATACGATGCTGACAAATATGCATATGATTGCGGATACTCCGAGGAATTAAGTAGATCTTTGATCAAGTTGTCAAACAAGAACTTGTCAAGTATGAATGCCGACTGGTTGTACTCCTCATTCCATTACTCGCACCCAATCTTACCTGAAAGATTGAGTGCATTAGGTTATGTTTCCAAGGAAAAGATTGGTTCAGGTGATTTAAAACCAGAGGGCTTTGAGGATGTTGAAATTACTAAGGAAAAACAGGAGAAGCAGGAATAGATTTTACGTATACTATATCTTTTGTATATGTATCGATATTTTTAATTGATTTCGTAGACATAAGAACAGAGAAAAAGAAAAAAAAAAAAACAAAAAAAGCAAAAGGTGCACAATAATCACGATACAAATTCATCTCTTCAAACGACACCCAACAGCAACAAACACCTAACGTTTCGAATAACCAATTCATATCATGGCAGAAGAGCAGCGAAGGCAGATTGAACAGCTAATGGGGAGACATTCGCAGCTGCTGTCAATACGACATTATCGAGATCCTGACATGACATCACCACAAGTATGCAAGGCATTTGTGGTGGGTATTTGCCCTCACGATCTATTCGTAGGGACCAAATCTGACTTGGGCAAGTGTCCCAGCCTACATCTACAGAAACACAAATTGGAGTATGAGTACAAGACAAGGAAATTGGGTCAAAACTTCCCTGAAATGGAGGCTGAGTACTTTGACATTCTACAGACGTACATACGAGATCTTGATCGGACTATATCTGTGGCGCAAAAGAGATTGGAACACACCCCGGAGGAGAAAGAAAAGATTGCCCAGATCACAAAGGATCTAGACGAGTTGGATATAGAGATTGGGTTGATGATTCAGGAGTTGAATTATTTGATCAAGTTGAACCAGAGTGAGCTGGAGGATCAAACTTTGAAAATTATTGACTTGTCGATTAAGTTGAACCAAAAGTCCAAGGAAAGAGAAGTTGCTAGTAAGCAAGCAAGGAATGTGATTGAGAATGTCGGTCAAACCTCGCAGCAAAAATTGCAAGTGTGTGATGGATGTGGTGCGTATTTGTCTCGACTAGATAACGATAGACGGTTGGCTGATCATTTCATTGGAAAGATTCACTTGGGATACGTTCAGTTGCGACGTGCGTACAATGAGATGAAAACCAGGATGCGTAAGTAGCTTTATAGTAGGAGAGTGGAATATAGAGTCTCGATGAGTTGAGTCGTCTCCGTAATTGAGTATAAATACACTTCTTCTTCTCCTTCTTCTCCTTCTTCTTCTTCTTCTTCTTTAAGTTCTTTATTGTGTGGGGGGATGGCTTGTTGTTGCCTCTCCAACCAGGTGGATGATTGCATGATACCGTTGAAACAAGATCTTGTAAGTGGAGAATTTGCACCAAAAAAGAAAGAAGGGGTTGAAGAAGGCGGTAGCTCATTTTGGTCTACAACCCGCACTGTAAACAATAGAGTGTTGGTAAAAGCCTTACGCACTAAAAAGATTTTTGTGGTCAGATTGACAGATACGGGTCATTCTTTCGTAAAATCTTCAACAATCATTACTTCACCACATTCATTGCCATATTGAATGTACACTTTTCTATTTTCCCCCATCCAGATTGACGGCAACCACCTTTCTAAGTAGAGAAAAGACTATGAAAAAGTATCAGCTTATTGGCCGGAAGCTGAACAATAGGTTCCCCAACAAAAAAGAAGCCATCAATTATCCTACACTACATTTACATTCCTTACCCATGGAAATACTACTACGAATATTCCGATCTTTACATTCCGATAAACAACCTTTGCTACCAGTGGCAAGAGTCTGTCGAAACTTTTATCATATTGTGTGCAAGTATTTCATTTATCGTGAAATTCAGTTCAAGACATCTGAGGAGTTTTTTAAATTTGCCAGTCACCATTTAACCACAGAAGTCAGTAGCAAGATCAACTATCTTGAGACTGTCACTTTTGTCAACCCTCAAGTGAAGAAAACGTCAAACCAGAGCATCAATATAGCAGGCAGTTATGCAGTGGAGTCAAACAGTCGAACCAAGGACACATTGAGTTATACAGAGTTCTTATCCACATTGAAGAGCTTGTTCAGTCATGCTTATGGGTTAAAATGTGTGCGGTTTATTGAGATTGCTCCCGAATTTGCATTTCCTTTAGATTTCAAACAAAAAACATCAACGAGTTTATTTAAGCGTAAAGTGACAAAGAGGAAAAGACGGCTCGGGAAATTGGTATTGAGACCACAATCGGGCTGGTCTATTCCGCTAAAAGATATACACTTGTCGTTATTTTGCGAATATTTTGACTCCATCGATGAGTTGCACTTGGTTGACTTTATCATTGATCAACCCATTAATGTTAATATCAAGGTTGAGAAAGTGGTGTTTCAGTCTTGTTCATATTCCATAAAAAAAGTCAAATCACCCAGTCCATTGTTTAAAGATGTGTCGGTTTTGGAATTACAAGGGCTCACCAGCTCAATGCAACTTTCTTTGATTGATTTGGTCAAGCTCAACAACAAGTTGAACACATTGATACTTGATTTGAACTCCAGTGTTTTTTACTTGAATGGAGAGTTTAACTTTACCAAATTTAATCCCTTCTTTCGTCTCTTGTGCTCAGGAGGAGGAGGTTATGCCAATATGAAGACGCTAGTGTTGAAGAATTTCGATTTATTCAACTATCTCAAACACGACGATTTGCACGAGGATGTTGATTCCTGGATAGAGCCCCCGACGAATAACTTTGAGACGTTTATCAAGTATGTCTCCTTTATCCCCAACTTGATTATTACATTGAAGAAAACCCCAGTGAGAGTAAACACTTGCAAAAAATGCGGATTCAAGAAACAACAACTGGATAAATTGATTGAAACATTGACACGCCAAGAGTGGGAAATCTTCTTGAAGCCATTGGAATTGCAAGATAACAATTTGAAGATACAACTGCATGATGCTGTTGATCTACACACTGTTTCAGAATACGATTAGAGTAAAGAGGAGGATAATAAATGGTGGTGGTGCTAATTTGATGTCAGTTTTCTGGGCATTTCAAGTACAAGATTAGTCAATTGTGCTTCATGTATCACGAATAAATTGATGTACAACAATTTATGTAAAAATACTAGTCCAAAAGCTTTTAACTGAATCGGTTACTTTATGGATAGTATCCACAATTACATTGGGTTTTGCTTCATGGTCCTTGTCATCATTTTTCCAGTAGTCCCCATCATGCTGCAGCTCATTTGGAGGCGTTGTTTCTTGACTCTTGTGTTTCAGTGACTCGTGAGCTTTATCTGCGGTTTGTTTTTCACCATCATTCGTTTTGTGTGGGGCATCATATGTGCTCCTTTCCAGCAGCTCTTTGTCATCAATCCTGCTACTGTCTTCAATTTCAAAGTCCACGACCACATCTATTTCATGAATGGTATTGTACACTTCGCCATTTGGCTGATAAAAGACCCTACTTGTTTGCAATTCACTCTTGTCCAAATGCACAAATTTTCCACGTTCAACATGCACTCCAGTGTCAATCATAATATCAACAATTGTCTCTGGAACTCCTTTTGAGATATCCAAGTTGGGATACACGTCGTTGCATCTTGGAATCGTTGACTGAGACTGCTTGATCCGCGATTGTATTTCTTTGGCATTCTTCTTCATCGCCTCGACAATAAAGTTGTAATCCAATTCTGGGATTGAGTCGAATTTATGTTTCAATTGCAGAAAGTCCCTCAATAATTTGACATCACCATTGCGCAATATTTCCACAAGACCGTAATTGTTTGCCTCTTGAGTGAATTCATAAATCAATCCGCCATTGAACACATCTATCATGTCATTTGTGTACAAAACTGGGACCTCATCAAAGTTTCTTGGCAAGACCTCATTACATCCGTATTCGGAGAAAAACACTGGCTTGGTGTACCCCTTATAGTCGTTCACCAAGATATTGTATCCACTACTGTAGAAAGTTTGATCACCGCACCATTGGTATGAGTTTACTCCATAGAAATCAACACTTTCCATCAAGTTATGATCGGCACATTCGAGATACTTGGCAAGCGGGATTCGATAGTTCAAATCATCAGCAGCAGAGTATCCAACAGGTATAGGCCGAGGGGAGTTCTTGTTGATGTAGCTCTTGATATCCCTCACAACCGCTTTGATGTATGGTGCTGATACAGATGCAGAGATGGGATCATTGATGACTTCATTACCAGCAACAAAGCCCAACGTGTTGTTGTAAAATGAAAATTGTTGGACGATTTTGAATACATTTTCAAAGTAAAACAAATTGTAACTGGTCCATGGTTCATACCTATTCAAATGGTGATTGGGCAAGGGTGAATTCACGTCTAGAACCAAATACATTCCTGCTGATGCTAGCATTGTCATACATTTATCATGATTCAAGTCGGGGTTTACTGAATAGATGCGGATAGTCTTCAACAAAGTAGATGAACATGTTAGTATGGGAGATTTACTTGTCTATTGCGTCTTTTGATCAACACAAGTTGTACATACGTTGATTCCTAGCTCTTGAAACAATATGATATCCCTGGCACATTGGACGGGATCAGATAATGGATCCTTGATTTTGGAAACTGCGGATGAGCCTCCTGGCTGGTAGTCTATTCCCTTGATATAAAACTAGAAGAAAATAGGTTAGCACATGTGTGCATATATATATATGTACGCGATAATATATTATAGTTCAGCTAAGACGTACTGGCTCTTTGGTGACACTGTTGACAAAGTAGTGTCCGTGGATTGTTATTGGATGTACATTAGCTGATATGAAGCATGAAGCTGTTAGAAACACAGTGATGAGTTTCAAGAGAAACATTTGGCTTGTTTAGAAGTGTGAAGTGGGAAGTTGGAAGTGGAGCAATGGAACTAGAGCTTTCCTTGAGAAAACTTTGGGATAAAATTGATGGGCATAGTTTATTTTGTTATTTAAAAGCTGCAAAAAATAAAAGAAAAAAATTGTCGGATTAGGAACAAACCAGAGCAAAGACGTTTTCTACACAAGAATAAAACTGCTTGAGGAAGTAAAAACTAGGTAAGCTTTTTGAATTTATAAAGATCTTTTCGTTGGGGTGTGTTTTTCTAATATGTAGTAGAGTGAAGTAACCACTTCAGCTTTGGTGACATGTACTTGTTGCATTCTTTATTACTTACAGGTAGCGCCATCATATGTAATAAATCCGCTAAAATTGCTTCTTTTGTTTGACAGTGTGGGGGTGGAGGGGAAAGAGAGGGGGGGGGGAACAATAACCTCTGCACATGCAAAAAATAAAATAGTTGATACTTAAATCCGAGCATCACCTGGCCTATTTCAGAACTTCATTTTTGGAAGTAGATAAAAGCTTGACACTCGTTATCTTGGGCTTCTCTAGCACTCATAGCGCAATCTTTCACATAGCTACCATGACATTTTCCAATAGTGATCTCAACAAATTAAACAAACGCCTTGATGTGATACTCGAGGACGTTACAACTTCCAAACAAAGCGAAGAACCGCCTCTTGTGGCACCAGCATGTACTATTGGAGTAACGCAGAAGGACAAAACCGTTTACCTCAATACTAAAGGAGTAACAAATCTCGATACCAAGCAGCCTTCAACCAATGATCACTTATACGCGTTTTATTCTTGTACTAAATCGTTGACAGTTATGGGGGCTTTGATATTGTATGAGAGGGGTCAATTGGATTTAGATACTCCAGTGTCAAAGTACTTTCCTGAAATTTCCACAGTTGGGGTTCTCGAGCCAGGAATTGTTGACAAGAAAACAGGTGACTTCAAAAAGCCTTTGCTGTTACCCAAGACTCAAGTAACAGCAAGACATTTGATGACACACACAGCTGGTTTCTCATATGGGTTTATCCATCCTGATTATTTTACCTTGATCACAAAAGGGAAACCAAGATTAGATGCAGCGAACCCGACTTTAGAGTTTTTCTTACACAAGACACCATTGGTGTTTGAACCAGGTACAAATTGGATGTATGGACATAGTATCGATTGGTTGGGTTTTGTTATTGAAAAAATATCGGGTCAGAAATTGGGGGAGTTTTTGAAAAAGGAGATTTTTGACCCGATTGGTATGAGCTCATGTGCATTCCATCAGAATAGCTACGATAATATGAATCGAGTTCACTATAGAAAGCAAGATGGTACATTGAAGTTGCAAGAAAAGTTCGGCTTACCTTTGAACCCTAATTTGGATTTGGGTGGTCAAGGATGTTTTGGAACAGTTGGAGATTATTTGAAGTTTATACGAGTTTGGTTAAATTTTGGCTACAGTCCCGATGGCAACAAGAGAATCTTGTCAGAAAAGACAGTTGAATATGCGGTACAGAATCATTTACCTGAAAATGTTGAGTTGGAATTCGTTGGATTGGCACACAATTTTGTGGATGATGATGCGCCAGGTAAACTGCAAGATGGATGGACACTCACTGGAAATGCATACAATTCGAATCAATTGCCAAGTGGTAGACCCAAGGGAACTTTATATTGGGGTGGATTGGCAAATTTGCTGTATTGGATTGATTTCAAGAATGGAATTGGTGGGTTTTTTGCTGTGCAAGTATTGCCATATATGGATGAATATGTTGTTCCATATATCGCAAAATTTGAATCTGAGGTCTATGCCGTTGTTGACGGAGAAGACAATCAAGTTCCATCCAAATTGTAGAGTTGGTCTTGCCATGAAGGAGAGGTGCATTCAACTGAACCTGGCAGGATCTGCATAAGGCGACAAACTATGATCCAAAGAGCCGCAGAATAGAACATATATTTTAGACATTGACAAGTAATGTCATAGAAATATGCAGCAACTACCGGTCAGAATATCGAAGATATAAAGAGGGAATTTTCACTTGGAATAATGCATCTTTTATATGTATTCAGAGATTGGTTATTTAAACATATTTCACTTTCTACGCCAATGCAACTTTTACCCCGACATCTCAAATCCCATACGAGATCACAAGATCTTCTAACATTCACAATACAAATTAAAAAGAAACAAAAAGCTTTCGCAGTAATTACATCCCAAGCAGAATCTTGCATAACTTCTCATTCAAGTGCCAAACTGTACTTTAGTGTCAGATTCAGCAGGTGAGCCAACATCTTCTTCTTCCTCTTGATTGTACATCAATTCCAAATCATCAGTCTCCCCGTCTATCAATCGAACAACCATTTTGACTACCTAAATATATGGAGTGCGTGTTTATAATTACTTCACCTTCAAAGAGACTTGGTAGAACCGTTATTCAACTCCGTCGCTATGAGACTTCACTGACTCTGAACTCAGTGTTGATCCTTGGAGCAGTTTTCAACTGATCTATCTTCTCTCTAAGTTTCCATAGGTACTGAGTTTTGAGAGTGTAAGCCCTCATGTTTCCTCTTTCTTTGCTTCGGAAGAAGTACATCGTCTTGGCAATGTTCGACTATCAATTGTCATTGCTTATTCTGACTTTTCACCTCTCTAAATAAAACGATCCATATTCTTTGAAACTACTCAATGGAACTGAGGGGAGAGAGAGAGAGAGAGAGAGAAATAGCCAGCAATATAGACGCAAAACTTTCAAACTCTCTCAAAGAAACAACTATGCTAGATCAATTCAGCCACTTTAAAGATTGAGTGTTTTTACACGGGGTCCCCGAAAACTGCACGAACTTATTTCGTAGACACGTTACCAATAAGGATTGCTTCATAAGTACACGTGAAATGAAAGAAAAACTTAATCCCGGATAAAACATTAATTTTACCTGTAAATGTATTAATTCTCACGTAGTGAAATGCAACTGTCCGTGACTGTGTCTTTTGTTTATTCATTCACGATCAACTGGCTGAAAATTGTTGATGCGCTTTCGCTATTTTAAATGCAGTTAGTTATATATCCCTTCTTCAACCTAGCTCGACAAGTTTGAATGCTCAGAGGTCTTCAAATGATGCCTTTTTTTTGGCTAGCTTGTTGTAGGTGGCATAAGGTCGTATACAATGATATAAGCGCTTTATTACTCTTTGGGGATTTTGAAAATTTTGAAGAAATTCAGCGTAAAGCTCTGTGCGCCAATTCTCTTCTCTACTACTTTTTCTTTGATACAATTCAAAATCACACAGTCGTCAAATTCTTTGCTGTCCCAC